TGTTTTGTTTTTGGTAAAAATCTGCTCCAAAACCTGTCTCAATGTGGAGAGGTGCTGTCAAAGCATCCTGTGACCCAGACCCGCTGAACAGCCCTGGCAGCAGGGCAGAGATATCAGCTTCTAAAAGGCTTTGAGTGGGACTGACCTCTCTAACCAGAGACTTTCAATTCTTTTTAGTTGATCACCAAGTTTTGTTGCATTTTAATGCCCCGTTTCTTGCACATGGAGGTACACAAGAGAATGCAAGAGACTGAGCAACAATATCAAAGCAAGAGAATACACATAAAGGCACAAACACCCATATGAAGTTTTTTTTTTTCCTGTTTCACACTTTCTCTCTGAATGTTGCTCTTTCTTGGTTCTCCCTCTGAGTTTGCATGTGTGATATGAACTCTCCAACACCAGCTTCACTGGGCTGCATCCCAGAGTCACACACCCACACACCAATTATAAGAATTCAAAAACACACAAATAACACACATTTACAAATGTAGTTTATTATGGCTGTTATGAGAAATCCAAGTATGGAGACTCACACGCACATACCTGCCAGGGACTTCAGTGTGTGTAATTTATATTTATAAAAGATGGAATGAGCGGCTGTTCTCAGCCTCCTACAGCACTTAAACCACTGTGCTTTTCCTTGGCCCTACCCAGCGTTCCCTCCTCAAGTCCAAACCCATTCCAGGCCATGGTCCTCTCTAATTTCACCCGAAGCAGCAGAAGCTTGAGCTGAAAAAGAGGAATCTGGCCCCCTAGTCCAGCAAACTATTCCTTTTTCCTCTCTCCCTCCTCTTCCAGCAACCACAGATCGACAGCTCTACGGCCAGCGCTGGCCCAAAAGTATGAGGGGTATTTTCAGCACTGTAATTTGATGCACATATGGTGCACACACAGACACGCTCTCAAACACAGAACCACACACTCAGCAAATATACAGACAGATCAAAAGATACAATAAGACAAGAGAGAGGAGAGATGACTCTAGCGCCCACAAAGACACGTGCCCTTACGTCCACAGAACTCCTCGCCCCCTTAGGACCAAGTCAGTCAATGTGCCTGTTCGCCCTTTGTGCTGGGTCGGAGGAGTTGTGTAGCTCAGAACAGGAAAGCAGGGTGGAGGCCTGAATACATAGAGATGTGGAAAGAACTCATCTGAAAACAAGAGGCCAGTACAGGGATGTTATGGTAGGGAGGGCAAAACCCAGAATAGTAAAGAGTGGAACATACATTACAATGTCTTTGGTGTTGAATGAGTCACTTTGTTATACTTGCTTGTTTGGAGTTATTTTTAATTATTTCAAAAGCTTTGTCACATAATAACACAAAGTTAATCACAGTGTCACTCACTGGGCCTTTAACAAGTGCTTTTTACTAAGCCTTAAGTAACATAAGTGGTTTGTGCTGTTCAGATGATCTCAGCTGCTAGTTGATTTGTAATTTTAAATCTATTTGTAACTCTTAAACGAAGACATATGTTGGAAGATATACAAAACATATTAGCTCAAATGCCCTTTTAATGGTCAGACTGCAGTAAGAAGAGAAAGTGAGGTAATACAGACAACAGCAATGTTCAATCTGCCTTTAGTGGTGAGATAGGGAGCAAACCACATGTACAGACAGACAGACAGATAATCTCCCCAACTGAGCCGACTACCTAAACACAACTGTCTGTATGCCCAAGCACATACATTCTGCACACACTTGCACTGATTACAAATGCAGTATATACACTACTGCTCCTCCTGTCCAGGACCTTAATTACCCTGCACAGTCCTATTTCCCAGAAATCCGGCAAGAGCACGGCTGTAATTAGGGCCTATATTTACCCCACCTGACCAGGGGAGAACCCAATACAGTGCTGGCCACAGGGATGAGCGAGCCTCACTTGATTACACTATGGATGGAAGCAGGGCAGCAGTGGACACATGAGCTGTGTCCCAGCTCGTGGAACAGGATGGATGGCATGTAAACACACCTCAACAAACAAGATTAGTAAATAAATAAATAAAAAGTTCAGGTGTATCAGCAGGTAGCTGAACTAAAATGGGCAAAAAGCTCTAAATACCTGAGGTGAACTGGGATGAAAATGCTGGTGTTCTGATTCTATAAATAATGGTGACTAAGAAATGGAGATGTCCCTTTGTCCTAAAAAGCCTTTAGACACTAGGAGCATAAAATACATTTGATGGAAATATACAAAATCAAGCATGTATTAATGCAAAAGCATAGATTATATGCAATCAGTGCCTTTCATCTCAAATAATCTGTTCTAAAGATGCCAACATTTCATTTTGTACAGGCTATTAAAGGGAAATTCAAACTCTTACCACCTAAAAATAAGTGAAACCCGTGCTTCCCACTAATGCTCTGCAGCATTCGTGAGACACCCGTCTTTAAAAATCTTTTCAGACAGTTGTGGCTTCTCTTGATGAGGACAACTAACTGGCTCTCATAGAAGAAGCCAAACAGACCTTCTAATGGGGTTACAAATTCAAATAGTTTGGACATCCTCTGTCCCTCTCTGTTTACTTTGTGGTCACATTGGCTTTTCCTTGCCATCACATCACATCTAAAACAACAAACCGATGAAAATGCAGAGTGGAGAAAGTGCTTCAATGTGCCGTTGCACTGGGCACAAATGGATGTTAATCGCTGATTTTAATCACAGATTTTAAACTCTTAAATCACTGATGCAATGTGAAATATTGTTAGAGTGGAATAAAATATTACTTTGAGGGTCTGAGTAGAAATTAGAGCTTCACACTCTTCTATGCATTTAAATTTCTGGCCTCATCATATTTCAGTGTTGCTTTAAGATTAGCTGACTGTACCCTTTATTCACTCAATCAGCAGACATGCTGTTAATAGGAGCAGTGGTGGCTCTCCCCTTCTTCAGATACAGAGAGAGACACACGTCTAAAGCCTGTCAGGGTGAGGCTCTACCCAGTCTCCTCTCAGAGCAAACTGAAGCCAAAGCAGGAGCTCATGTATTTGAGAGTGATAAGAAGGGGGAACAAAAAAAAATAAAAATAAAAAAGCAAGAGGACATAACCAAAATGGGAAGAGCGAGCCTCCGTTAACTCTGATTTGGGTCCTACTTTCATTTGAGGCAGTGAAGCCATATGCAGAGTGCAGAAGAGAACAGAGTGCTTGAGTCAGGCCTCTGTCCTCCATCTGTGGCAGAAGGATTAATGAGAAAGTGTGAGAAAGAAACAGAGAAAAAGACAACACAGAGACTTGACTCAATGGTTCTTCTGTGTCCTGTGGCTGAGCAGCCTAAAGCGCCACTCGTTACACTGCGAACCATTGTGAAGTTTACAATTTGTTGCAGACCAGGACACAATAGAGTTCGCTGGTCCTGTCCTTGTAGGCTTTGCCTTGATACAAAAGATTGAAAATGGCATGGAGAGAGCAAGAGAGACAGAAAGAAAAATAGCATGCACAAAACAGGTGGTGGGAGAGCATGAAAACTAAACAAAAAACTGAAACAACTTTGGGCTACTTGCTCAGTTTCAGCTGCCCAGGACTTGTGAACCGCTGCTCTAAAGCATACGCCAAAAAGCTAAAACTAAAACCATATTCTTGCTTCAAATCTGTCTTAAGACTTAAGTCTTCATTCCGATACGGCCTGTTGCTCATCTCTCTAAGCGATCTAAAGAAGTCAAAAAGCCATAGAATGTCCTAGCACCGGGCTCTTCCTGGAGACACCTTTTAAAACATACAGACCACCCAATACTTACTTAATCTAAACTTTAGCTGCACAGAGTGATTTGCCATTTTATTTTAAGTACTTTAAGTACATGCAGTGGCTGGAATAGCATTTATAACGACAATCAGTCGCACTGTTGAAAGGCAGTGACTGATGTATGGGGAGAAGAACACATACATGACCCTTGCAAAGCAGAAAATTCAAACAGGCTGCTGAAAAGTAATGCTGTAACAGGACATCAACACTGACACACCTGATATAAACACCCAGCTTCAAACAGTGGAGAGGAGCCAGCTGACTAAGCTCATGTTACTCAAGCAAACACACAGACTGTGCTCACACTCTGTATTGTTGAAAGTGTGCCACAGAGAAAAGAATCCACATGTTCCTTTTTCACTGCTGGCTCCCTGACCGTTAGAATCAATGACTTCACACACCTTTGAAACAGTATGCCTCTAACAAAGGTGTCAAAAGCTTCAAAACACATACAGACCAACACATGGAGGAGCACAGAGGCAAGAATCTAGTCATGTACTGTACACCGATGCAGTCACCTTTCCTTTCTCCTCCATACAGGGTTATGAAACGCCTTCCAGGTATTTCTGTGGTCTCATATTTAATCTGCTATGACATATAGTGTTTATGCAGGATTCCTCATATTTACAAATGAGGGAGCCTGAGGTAGACCGAGCTTCTCAGTAATTAGAACACCCTGGGAGGTCCGCTTCTAAAATGTGTGAGAATATTTGCTCTCCACTGACCACTCAAACACCCTCCTTGATCTTCATCTTCCCTCAACAAACAAATGCTCTACCACTCCACTTTCTCACTGCTGCCTAATAGCTCAGGTCCGGCCTGGTTGTCACTAGTGAGAACTGTCCAATAAGGACTGGTGTGAGTGGAGAGGTTCGTGGTCCTACTGGTTTAGTGTGGGATGGGCACTCATGGGAAGAGGAGAGCTGGGACTGAAGCTTGTGCAGGACAAGCATAAAGCAACAATGGATGAAACACCGAGTGGCCGATGGTGAGCTCTCTGGGTTAATGTCAATATATTTATCACTAGATGTAGTGAGAAAATAAATCTGCTTACAGTAAAAGGCAGTGGAGTGACCGGGACCAAGTCTATTTTTATTCATATTTGTCTTCCTTTAAATAGTGCTTCATTACAGTATGTTTGTTCTAAATAGAGGGGTTTCTACACTGACAAGCAGCATGTGATTTCCCTGTTTTCTAAAAGCAGATACCAGGTGTTTCAGTAGCGTAGTGAACACTTTATTAAAGGACCTACCTGAACAGGTGTTAGCTGGGCTCTGGGGTCAAACACACGCAACATCTTGTCCTACACAGCCAAAGGACAGAGAAGAAACTTTACCAGACAGAAGAAAGCTGGAAATGATTTGTGATATAAGGTTATAAATCAACTCAACTCTGTCTGAACTCAAAACCCTTTTGTTTTAAATCAGGTCTTTTGGCACCATGTGAACTTAAGTAATAACAACATGTAAAGGCTGTGAGGCAAGTCTGTGTTTCATTGTGAATTTTTCCTTTGTGAGGTGTATGAATATGATGTGCATAGGAGGTGAGGCCAAGATTTAAGATTTGTGCACAGTAAGGTGGAAAAGAATCATTCAGCTCTAATTATTGCATAGGAACTAGGGGGAACTACTGAAATATGAAAGCTAAACAGTGAAAACATTCAAATAAAAGGGTCCCTCCACCTCAGTATAACTCAGGTAAAGAACAACACAAGCTCCCTGAAGTTTTCTCATTTATCAGTGTGATCTCACTGATTAGCAGATGCAGCCCGCTGACCTCGCTACGGCCTCGTGCCGTCACTCCAACCAGCCCAAACAAGCATTCAGCATCACTCAGGGCAGCCAATCAGAGGCTCATGTGTGATTGAGAGGAAATGGGGCCTAATGGGATCAGGCTGTGACAGGACATGCATGTCTGCAGCCGTGTCACTTAATAGTATTGTGTGACTGTGATCACAGGGGCAGCCTGACATACAGAACTTAGACTACGCCATGCACCCACTTGACAAACATATACATGTCAATGGGAATCAGGGGGCTGACAGTGACACAGTCAAGCACACACACACACATGCACAGAGCATAACACAGTATTTTATCCTATCAGGCTCAATCCAGCTTTTAGTGTGAAAGTCAGCTTCTTTTTATCTTGCTCCACTCAACGATCAAGAGGGAGTTTATTTGCTTGTTATTAGCCTGAATAGCAAACAGGGATTTTCTTAATGTGTCATTACTTTCTCTGGCTCTATCTCTGTCTGTGTGGTTGTATAGCCCACCCACAGATATGATTCCCCAAGGCTATAAGCTGGGCCTAAGCCCTGGTCTCAGTGAGTGGAGTAAGAACAACACACACATATTGTATACACAAATAGGCTTTCCCACTATAAGAGCCCACCTGTTGCAAAAATACCAAATTCAGATTAAAACTCCCTCTGAACAATAAACATCAGAGGGCAAACACACACTCACACATGCTCTGGTTGATTTAAAAAATACATCATTTTGATAGTCAAAATAAATTAGTAGATTAATTCATCAACTAATCATAGGAGTCTATGAGATGAAGTTGTGATGAAGGGCCAGGATGGCAGTGTGTGCATCTGTGTGTGCCTGTGCTAAAACAACAGCTGTGGTGGAGCCTCGTTCTCAAGTTGCTTTTAATGAGTCTTTCCTGTTAATCTGGTGCATGCAACTTTCACAAACACACACAGCCACTGG